GTACATATCATGTTTGTCTTTTTGTGATTGGGTTACATCTCTCAGAATGGTTTCTTCGAGTTCTATCCATTTGCCTACAAATTTCAAGATTCCATCTTTTTTTTCCTGCTGAGTAGTACTCCATTGTGTAAATGTACCACATTTTCTCCATCCATCCTTCCAGTTTCTGGCTATTACAAATAATGCTGCTATGAACATAGTTGAACAGATGTCGTTTTTGTATGAATGTGCTTCTTTTGGGTATATGCCTAAGAGTGAAATTGCTGGATCTTGTTATAGACTGATTCCCATTTTCCTGAGGAACCACCATACTGATTTCCAAAGTGACTGTACCAGTTGGCACTCCCAGCAGAGGAGGAGTGTTTCCCTTTCTCCACATCCTCTCCAGCATCAACTGTCATTGGTGTTTTTGATTTTAGCCATTCTGACAGGTGTAAGATGGTATCTTAGAACTGTTTGGATTTGCATTTCCGTAATGGCTAAGGATGTTGAACACTTTCTTAGGTATCTTTCAGCCATTTTAGATTCCTCTATTGAAAATTCTCTATTTAGTTCTGTACCCCACTTTTTAATTGGATTGTTTGGTGTTTTGGTGACTAGCTTCTTGAGTTCTTTGTATATTTTGGAAATCAGATCTCTGTCAGATGTGGGGTTGGTAAATATCTTTGCCCAGTCTGTGGGCTGCTGTTTTATCTTGCTGACTGTGTCCTTTGCCTTACAAAAGCTTCTCAGTTTCAGGAGGTCCTATTTATTAATTGTTGATCTCAGTGTCTGTGCTACTAGTGTTATGTTCAGGAAGCGGTCTCCTGTACCAATTTGTTCCAGGGTACTACCTACCTTCTCTTATAAGAGGTTCAGTGTGGCTGGGTTTATGTTGAGGTCTTTGATCCATTTGTACTTAAGTTTTGTGCATGACGATAGATATGGATCTATCTGCAGTCTTCAACACGCCAGCATCCAATTATGCCAGCACCATTTGCTGAAGATGCTTTCTTTTTTTCCGTTGTGTAATTTTAGCTTCTTTGTCAAAACTCAGGTGTTTGTAGGTCACATACTGTTTCTTAAGGATTTTTCTTCTAATTGCAAAATAAATGCATAGAATATTTCAGAAATGCATTAAAAACCTAATTGCAGGGTGCAGCTGCAGGGCCAGTGCATCTATTTGAATAATCCCTTGGGACAAGGGGAATGCAGTCCCACTGGACAGTTTTCCCAGCCCCTACCACGTGTAGCACAGCTTCCATAATCTAACTGAAACATCTTTCCTCCTCTGATTCCCTCCTCACAGGCCATCTCCCTCTTGCTCCTTCCCCCACCCTGCAGCACCTTGGCTATCTGCCTCCCATCTCAACCTGTGAATCCCAAGCCTGATGATGTCACTGGATACCTCCCAGGACCCCACTGTCCCCTGGCCTGTGTCTAGATGACTATGGCTGCTATTTGATATGAATCTCTGCTATTTCCAGTGAGTGCCCTGGGACAGTGCATACCACAGGACTTAGTATCTGAAAGATGCCAGTTGTTCACACTGGGCACCCAGATAAAGGCAAGCATGTGCTGAGCCTACTGTGTGTTGACGTTACCTGTCTTCACAGTGAGAAATCACTGCACATTTAGAGATTAATAGCATGTGATTGGTTCTGGCTAATGCACAAAAGGGAACAAGCCTTCAACAAATTTTTACCAGCCTATATATGCCTTTGGCTTATTCATTCCAAATACACTGTCATCCTTAAGTCTCTTTTAGGACCCAATCAAAGGTTACACTTTGAACAACTTAAACAGAGACAGGAGACTGCAAATCTGGCCTCTTGGACAGATAGGAGATTTACAGGGCAAAGATATTTCCATGGATATTTCTCAAGTACGCCAGTGAATAGTTGCTAGCTGGGGTCATCTTGCTCACCTGGCAGAATTATCACCTGTGTTGCCCACTGAAGTTGCCCCTTAGAGGCATGGGAATGAGCCTAATGGCTGATTGTAAGTTGGGAGTGTCTTCTTTGTCATGGGAATGGAGCTTAATTGCTGGTGAACAAACATTGGCCAAAGTGTTTCCCAACAATGCTAAACTCCAATTATGTCTAGTAAACCTAGTTAGTGTAACACTTACCTTTGAGGTGTTTGGGAGGCACTGCACCCTTAGTTAGCTTAATTCTACTTTGTGTGACTTAATGTCTCCTATGCAAGTTTATTAGTAAATCCTTTATAAGATCAATTTTATTACTTCGAGTTTCTCCTACATTGTCGTGGGGGTGCAGCAGAGACAGTTTCGGGTGCACTAGGTCCCTTAAACTTCTTTGACACTAGTCAGTTATCATTCCTCTCACCACCACATTGCTGAACGCCCAGTGGCACCAGTAGGGAGAACTGTTCAATGAACCAAAGACACACAGTGAAATGTCACCATGGGGGAGTAAGATGAGTGCAAAAAGACAGTTTGTGTGTTACTGGAAGCAGGCAGGGGATGGCTATGGGACTGCTTCACTTGGCACGGTTGAACAAGGATTCCTTGAAAAGGGAACCCAAGGGCTGGCATTGAAGGCCAGTTGCAGGTTGTTAAATAGAAAGGCATTCTGGGAAAAAGGAACGGTGTGTTTGCACAAAAGCAGAACAGTGCAATGGTTTTGAGAAATGATGAATAATCCCCATTGGGCTGTGAGGTTATAGGATTTAGAGTACCGTGCAGACAGTAGCCTGGGTGAACTCTACTCTCCAGGTACCTGATGAGACCAATAGGTCTTGGAGCAGACAGGCTCAGGGACCAAATTGAGATGTTTCGCCCTAGGGTTTGGTGAGTCCATTTGAAACACAGAGTAAGAAGCAGGGATGGGAGTGGAGAAATGGAGCAGGAGGTTAGGATGACTTATGGCCAAGTGCCAGCTCCACATTACC